TGGCCTTAAATGCACATACATAGTCACCAAGGCAAACAACTAAGCATTTAAGCACTATCATAATAAAAAAACATTTCCAGACTATTTCATTCTTACATTCTATCTGCTGTTGGTAGAATCCTTAGACACAACTGCAAATGATAGCCCTAGAGCCAGTTGGTGCATCGCACATCCTAGTCTGTGCTGGCTTCTCTGTGTCTGTGTAACAGTAACAGTGCTCTAGTCTATCATATTTATACTGTTATAGCCAGGAAGATGGCTGACAGCTATGCTCCTGTGGTCATCCAGGGGAAGTACTGATGGTGCCATCCCGTTCCCATGTAGGTCCAAGGGTTGGCAAGCTGCCCTCTTCTACTAGGTTCTCCTAGTCACCACAATTCCTATGACCTTAAAGAGTTAACCATGAAAACATGGCAATCTGCCAGGAGATGATATGTACTTGTGATGCAAAGCTATGTCAATGGCTTATCACTGTGGGCCTGAAGGTTAAGCCCACATTCACTCTTATGACACAATACATTCTCATATAAAATTAAATGACGCAGCTGAAAAGGACCAAAATACTCGGCAATAGCTGAGTACTAAGCAGATTCAGTCCCCTTAACAAACCCCAAATAAGGTATCATTGAGGCAATAGTTGGATGTCACTAATCTCCTCATGATCACAGTATTCTTCTAAACATTTCCAATACACAAACAAAAGCTGTTTTATTTAGTTCATGGGTAGGCAAACAAAGGCCCGGGGGCTGGATCCGGCCCAATCGCCTTCTAAATCCGGCCCACGGACAGTCCAGGAATCAGCGTGTTTTTACATGAGTAGAATGTGTCCTTTTATTTAAAACGCATCTCTGGGTTATCTGTGGGGCATAGGAATTTGTTCATTCCCCCCTCCCCAAAAAATAAAGTCCGGCCCCCCACAAGGTCTGAGGGACAGTGGACTGGCCCCCCACTGAAAAAGTTTGCTGACCCCTGTCCTGGAAACACCCCTTCCTGATGTTGCTCAGTGTCACTCTCCTGCAGCAGCTTCTTACAAGGCTCCCAAGGGCAAAGGGTGGGGTAGCTGAAAACACCTCTCCCATGATGTTGTTTCCCCTCTTCTTTCTCCTTTCCTTCTTTTTCCAGGCCCTTCCAAGATCTACAGTGCTTTGAATCCAACAGAGCCCAATCTATCCATGCCCTGCCCTGCCCCCAAGCACCCTGTTTTGAGGATTTTCCATAAGCTACCACTGATGGTTAAACCACAGAGCTTAGGACTTGCCGATCAGAAGGTTGGTGGTTCGAATCCCCGCAACAGGGTGAGCTCCCATTGCTTGGTCCCTGCTCCTGCCAACCTAGCAGTTCGAAAGCACGTCAAAAGTGCAAGTAGATAAATAGGTACCGCTCCGGCGGGAAGGTAAACGGCGTTTCAGTGTGCTGTTCTGGTTCGCCAGAAGCGGCTTAGTTATACTGGCCACATGACCTGGAAGCTGTACGCCAGCTCCCTTGGCCAATAAAGCAAGATGAGTGCCACAACCCCAGAGTCGGTCACGACCTTTACCTTTTACCACTGATGGGAGAGACTCCCTAGGTGCAGTGGCAGAGCCCCCCCCAAAAAAACTCACTATGTAGGGTCACCTTCACTTTATCCTAATCCCTTCAAGTGGCATAGATCAGGAGGTGGAGGTCGCATGGTTCATTGATTGATCTACTGGTTTAAAATGCAATCCCACGGCCGCTTAAATGGGAGAAAGACTGACTTAACTCAGGATCAGGCTACTAATGGCTGCCAGTTTGCTGCTGATCTCATCGCTTTATTACTATGTGGTCGCTCTGTGTTGATTGTTATGCACTAATAACCTCTTGGGGATTCAGTAGTCTGGAGGGAATAGCACTGGGTGCCTGAGTCCCAGTAGTTGCTGCTACAGTATTGTCATAACAAAAACAAGTGCTGTATGCCAGGTGTGTGTGGAGGGGGGAACAGCCACACACTTTGGAGAAACAGCCTCTATAGTTTCCTGTAAATAATCCATATGGCTGTTATTGCAAGGACAGCTGGAAACAGAAGTGTGAAAAATGTTAAGTGTTTGTTAAGGCCCTGTGCTACACAGAAACAATTTGTCAAAGACTCCAGCTTTTGTCTTGCTATTCCTTTTTGTGTTGGATAACAAGAGTTACCGTAAAATGTATTTCACCCCACTTCCTTTCCAAGAGGACACAACACATGGTGAAAGGATCTCCTGCTGCTACCAAGTGCATTTGAAGGACCTCGTGGTTATTCTCTTCTCTGTTACTGATTTTGGAAACATTCCAAATTTAATTCATCTAGAGTAAAAAGGAGCCATTTAACATGCCAGGTTGAGGAGTCTCCCAGGAAAAAGGGAGAAATGATTCTTGGCTCACTTGTTGTGTGCTGTTGTACATACTTTGGTTATCTCCCGCTTGGACTACTACAATGCGCCCTACGTGGGGCTATCTTTGAAGGTGACTCAGAAACTACAACTAATCCAGAATGCAGCTGCCAGACTAATGACTGGGAATGGTTGCCAGGACCATATAACATCAGTCCTAAAAGATCTACATTGGCTCCCAGTACATTTCCAAGCACAATTCAAAGTCTTGGTACTGACCTTTAATGCCCTAAATGGTTTTGGACCTGTATACCTAAAGGAGCATCTCCTCCCCCATTGTTCAGCCTAGACACTGAGATCCAGCACCAAGGGCCTTATGGCAGTTCCCTCACAGTGAGAAGTGAAATTGCAGGGAACCAGGCAGAGCGCCTTCTTGGTAGTGCCACCCACACTGTGGAACCCAGTCAGATGGGCAGGGTATAAATAATTTGTTGTTGCAACAAAGGTCCCATCTGCACTATATATTTAAAGCAGTACCGTACCACTTTAAACAGTCGTGTCTTCTACCAAAGAATCATGGGAATTGTAGTTTGTTAACGGGACTGAGGGTTGTTAGGAAACCCCTACTCCCTTCACAGAGCAACACTTCCCTGGGAAGAGGAACTGACTGTTTAATCACTCTGGGAACTGCAGTGACTAATTTGGGGGAAGGTTACCCTCAAGAGGGATGCTGGTGGCACTGTGGGTTAAACCACAGAGCCTAGGACTTGCCAATCAGAAGGTTGGCAGTAGGAATCCCCGCGACAGGGTGAGCTCCCGTTGCTTGGTCCCTGCTCCTGCCAACCTAGCAGTTTGAAAGCACATCAAAGTGCAAGTAGATAAATAGGCACCGCTCCAGCGGGAAGGTAAACGGCGTTTCTGTGCGCTGCTCTGGTTCGTCAGAAGTGGCTTAGTCATGCTGGCCACATGACCCAGAAGCTGTACACCAGCTTCCTCGGCCAATAAAGCGAGATGAGCACCGCAACCCCAGAGTCGATCACAACTGGACCTAATGGTCAGTGGTCCCTTTACCTTTACCCTCAAGAATAGCTCCAATCTATTTTGAGAAATAGCTGTCCTGTTGATGCTGCTGTGGCAATAATTTCTGTTAAAAATCTGGCTGTCTTTTTTGAGGAACGGTTCTTCTTCTACTGTGAGACACTAGGAAATGAAGAGCTTGCTCACTCTCTGAGAACATTTTGTACAGAATACCAGAGCAAAATGAATTGCTTATCAAAGTGCATTTATGCTCAAGATCTGAACCTGAGCAAGTTGCTGTTTGCAGTCTTGACTCAGCAGTCTACTTCAACATAAAGTACTATCCTGTCTCCAGCCAACAGCACATGGGAGCTATGGCACATAGGTGAACTAGGTGGCTACCTTGGGTGACAACATTTTAGGGGCCCCAACTGTCAAGGTTGAGAATTGTGGTAGGTGGGGAAATGATTTCTTAATGACTCTCACAGCATTTGTTTGCTCTCCCTCCCAGAGAAAAAGACTAGCACCTTTGAGTCTTGAGGCAGAGTTGTGCCTGTTTACTCAGAAGTAAACCCCACTGTGTTCATGGCAAAGATGCTTTCCCCTTTCCAAAAAAAGGGATGCTTTGGGTTGCAGCCTCACAGGCTCCTGATCCAACCGTTTTACAGCTTCTGTGAAGCAGGGACAGCTAACTTGAAGAAGAAGAAGAAGAGTTTGGATTTGATATCCCGCCTTTCACTCCCCTTCAGGAGTCTCAAAGCGGCTAACAATCTCCTTTCCCTTCCTCCCCCACAACAAACACTCTGTGAGGTGAGTGAGGCTGAGAGACTTCAAAGAAATGTGACTGGCCCAAGGTCACCCAGCAGCTGCATGTGGAGGAGCGGAGACGCGAACCCGGTTACCCAGATTACATGACTACCGCTCTTAACCACTACACCAGAGTGGTTGCATTGTGAAGCCTGTGGAACTCAGCGAGACTTGCTTATAGGTGCTTAGGTGAATGCAGCCAGTGGTTGCAGCCTGGCTGGCCCAGCAGTTTTTTGGGGGAGAGCCATCTCTGCAGGAAGGGATATCATTCCTCAAGCCAGCTCTGTCACACTGGACCAGCTCCAGGTCCTCTCCCTTTGCTTCATTGTTCTAGGGAGGGAAAGTTGTGTGCCACTGCCAGTCAGTGTAGACAGTACTGAGTTAGATGAACTAAAGATCTGACCCAGTAGAAGACAGCTTCCTATGTAACTAACTGCTTGGGCACTTGTTATTCTAACAGCCTCCTAGGCCTTCCTTCTGACATTCTTTCCAAATGCTCATAGCTGTCAATACACACACACACCACTTTATTCTTCTTCCCTACCCAGTTCCTTCAGCAGTTCTTTTCTGACTCCTTTCCTGCACCTCAATCAATCAATCAATCAATCCGCTTCAGACTGACTGGTATGACCCAGTGCACTGCCAGGAATCAAGGATCTGCACTCACGCCTGCTTACAGAAGTGCAGCCTGCAATCCTCGAAGTCAGTTCTCCTCTCTGAAGAGGAATCTCTTGCTGACTTTGCCGCTCTGAGGTGATGACGAGAGTCTAATAACAAATCCTGCCACTCAAAGGCCCTGACCAATCGGTGCAGCCAAGGGGAGGGCATTGAGACAGATACACCTACACTGAATGTTGCCGAGTGGCTGGCAAGAGCATCTCTCAGTGCACAGTAGTTGCTGCTTCCAACAACTGCAGAGCAGGCTTCTTCGCTGACAGTCACTGAAACCAGGGCATTCAGCGTGCCAAGCAATCCGGGAAGGCTAGGGTAACTGAGGGACCAGCTTCCCAGCATCTGTGAAAGAAGAACCCAGCAATCTTCAGCGAGAAGATGATGGCATGTACAGAGATGCTGACAATGTGCTTGCTCTCTGCCAAGCACGCTTACAGCCCTGAAGCCAAAGACAGCCTGCAGAACTATGGCAAGGGACTAGCAATCTTCCACGATGTAAGTAGCTGCATGGCACATGTTTTCCCTATGTTGTAAATGGAGAGTGGTTTGTAGAGAAGTGCTATGAATGTTTGATTTACCCATTGCTTCACCTCCTATTTCAAGCTTTCTGGGTTTCACAATTTCCTGCTTCCACCTCCCCTTGGTATGCTCAGAGGTCTGGTTTGAAAAACTTGCCAAGTCCCAAGGAGCAAGGCAAATGCAAAGCCCTCGAGTTTCTGCGCTGAAAGCCTTCATGCTACACTTTTGCAGAGAAATGTGTATGTGTGTGTCTTGGAGAGCCTTGGAGAGAAAATTGTTTCATGGTATGATTTCAGAACAAGATTAGAAAGAGTTGGGCTCTTGTTCCACCTCTGCAAAGGTATCCCATGATCTCCGGCAAATTGTGGTGGATCAGTAAGTTGCCCAACTCTAGCATGGGAATAAGAGCGCACTGCATGCAGACCAGTACTTGCAGTAATATTTCTGCTCCATTCACTTTTCAGTCCTCTTCCTATCCTCACACTAATTTGTATGTATTTCTTCCTTCTGGAATTGTGAGCTTAGTTTTCAAGCTTGCCAAAGTTGAAATTTCGTCTGTGCACCCTTAATCTCACCAATAAATTATACGGAAGATGTAAAAAAGGAAGGATCTTATACAGGCCATGAAGTAACCTGGTGCAGTTTATACTTAAGAAATTAGCAGTGGAAAATTAACAAAATGTCCAGGCGAATGAATGTTTTGCACATTGACTAAAGGGTCCACTGTCGAAAGAGAAAGAGACCGCAGAATGGCAAGGAAGAAAAGGAGTGTGAGATTTTTGCCTAGAGAAATCGTGGAATAGTTTCCAGAGCACCATTAGTCCGTTGCAGCAAAATGAAGGGAGAGTCTTGCAGCATGTTAATAATAATAATAATAGTAATTTATTATTTATACCCCGCCCATCTGGCTGAGTTTCCCCAGCCACTCTGGGTGGCTCCCAATCGCGTGTTAAAAACAATACAGCATTAAATATTAAAAACTTCCCTAAACAGGGCTTAAATACAAACGTTCCTATTTTTAAATAAACATTTAAACAGGTTTTTTAAAAAAAGTCTTTAATATAAAATATTTCATTGTTTGTAAATATATATATATATATATATATATATATATATATATATATATATGTAGGTTTTGGTGTCCTCGGGTGTCTTCCCGTGTAAAAGTTGGGGTGTCTAGGCGACGTTTCGACGAGGTCTCACTCGTCATCTTCAGGCTGGTGCTTTCGGCTTCTTGTTACTGGAACAGAGCAGGATCTCAGTGTTTGAGTTCCTATAAATACTGTTGAGGGGGTGTGGTGTATAGCCTCCAATGTTCTGGGCAGAGAGGAAGTTCCCAGGCTAGTGTGCCTTTTCTTCTTTTGTTCCTTAATTACTTGAGGGATATCTTGAGTGATTTCTTGAGTGATATTCTGAGTACCACTTAGGTGGGTCATTAGGTGTGGATTAGTTGCTCAAGCCTTCGTGTCTTGACCTCTTGAACTTTGTGAAGAGTTTTTCTGAGAGGATGGCTGTACTGCACTTAGTTGTGCTCTGGCTTGGCTTCGGGTATAGGGGCGAGCTGTGGTTTTGTGCCCTGTGCCAGCCAGATCTGTGTAGGGATTGCAGGGGGGTGCAGCATCCGGAGGTGCCACCATGGTTTGGCTACTGGATGGTGTCTGTAATTTATCTGTGGAGAGGGTCTGGGTTTGGGTCTGGTGTGGTTGATTGGTGATGGCGTTCTGTGTGCCTCTGGATCTGGTGTCGGTTTTTGTGGAGAGGGCTAATTTCCAGATGTCTGGCAGGCGGGACGTGTCGTCACGCTTGTTCATGTTGTGAGGGTGTTTCTCTATCTCGATGGCTTCCATGATTATTCTCTTGTGGTGATGTTCCATGTTAAAGAGCAATTTGGAATCTGCAAGATTAATTTCGTGTCCTGTTTCTTTCATGTGTTGGAAAAGAGAGGAAGTTTTTTCTTCTTTTTTGACGGCATTCTTGTGTTCTGCGATACGTGCATTTATTCGTCTGTTTGTTTGTCCAATGTACGTGGCTGGGCAGACTTTGCAGGGTATTTCATAGACCCCTTGGTTTTCCAACTGGATTTTATCTTTGGGGTTTCTGAGGATATTGGCTATTTTTGGTTGGTGCAAAAGGCTGTTTTGATATTGTGTTTATGGAGGATTTTTGCTAATTTTATCTGTAGTGCCCTTGATATAAGGAAGGAGGGCCATGCCATTGTTTTCTTCTGTGTCTTGGTTTTTGGGGGGTGTTTCTTTTTGGATTAGCTTCGTAACCCTGTTTTGCTGGTATCCATTGGCGATTAACACATTTGAGAGATTCTGTAACTCAGTTGTCAAGTGGTCTTTGTCAGCCAGGCGTTTGGTTCTGGAGATGAGAGTCTTGGCTACGGAGTTTATTTGTGCAGGGTGGTGGTGTGATTGTGCATGTAAGTAGCGGTTGGTGTGTGTTTTTTTCCGGTAGATAGTGTGTCCTAGGGAGCCATCAGGTTTTTGTAGATTAGGACGTCAAGGAAGGGAAGTTGGTTGTTGGCTTCTATTTCCATAGTGAATTGTATTTTGGGGTGTAGGCTGTTGAGATGTGTGAGGAAGCTATCTAGTTTTTCCTTCCCGTGTGGCCAAATTACAAAGGTGTCGTCAACATATCTGAGCCAAAGTTTGGGTTTGTGTTCTGACTTGTCTAAAGCATTGGTTTCAAAGTGTTCCATGTACAGATTTGCGATGACCGGTGAGAGGGGTGATCCCATAGGTGCTCCTTCTATCTGTTTGTATCTTTGTCCCCAAAATACAATTCACTATGGAAATAGAAGCCAACAACCAACTTCCCTTCCTTGACGTCCTAATCTACAAAAAACCTGATGGCTCCCTAGGACACACTATCTACCGGAAAAAAACACACACCAACCGCTACTTACATGCACAATCACACCACCACCCTGCACAAATAAACTCCGTAGCCAAGACTCTCATCTCCAGAACCAAACGCCTGGCTGACAAAGACCACTTGACAACTGAGTTACAGAATCTCTCAAATGTGTTAATCGCCAATGGATACCAGCAAAACAGGGTTACGAAGCTAATCCAAAAAGAAACACCCCCAAAAACCAAGACACAGAAGAAAACAATGGCATGGCCCTCCTTCCTTATATCAAGGGCACTACAGATAAAATTAGCAAAATCCTCCATAAACACAATATCAAAACAGCCTTTTGCACCAACCAAAAAATAGCCAATATCCTCAGAAACCCCAAAGATAAAATCCAGTTGGAAAACCAAGGGGTCTATGAAATACCCTGCAAAGTCTGCCCAGCCACGTACATTGGACAAACAAACAGACGAATAAATGCACGTATCGCAGAACACAAGAATGCCGTCAAAAAAGAAGAAAAAACTTCCTCTCTTTTCCAACACATGAAAGAAACAGGACACGAAATTAATCTTGCAGATTCCAAATTGCTCTTTAACATGGAACATCACCACAAGAGAATAATCATGGAAGCCATCGAGATAGAGAAACACCCTCACAACATGAACAAGCGTGACGACACGTCCCGCCTGCCAGACATCTGGAAATTAGCCCTCTCCACAAAAACCGACACCAGATCCAGAGGCACACAGAACGCCATCACCAATCAACCACACCAGACCCAAACCCAGACCCTCTCCACAGATAAATTACAGACACCATCCAGTAGCCAAACCATGGTGGCACCTCCGGATGCTGCACCCCCCTGCAATCCCTACACAGATCTGGCTGGCACAGGGCACAAAACCACAGCTCGCCCCTATACCCGAAGCCAAGCCAGAGCACAACTAAGTGCAGTACAGCCATCTTCTCAGAAAAACTCTTCACAAAGTTCAAGAGGTCAAGACACGAAGGCTTGAGCAACTAATCCACACCTAATGACCCACCTAAGTGGTACTCAGAATATCACTCAAGAAATCACTCAAGATATCCCTCAAGTAATTAAGGAACAAAAGAAGAAAAGGCACACTAGCCTGGGAACTTCCTCTCTGCCCAGAACATTGGAGGCTATACACCACACCCCCTCAACAGTATTTATAGGAACTCAAACACTGAGATCCTGCTCTGTTCCAGTAACAAGAAGCCGAAAGCACCAGCCTGAAGATGACGAGTGAGACCTCGTCGAAACGTCGCCTAGACACCCCAACTTTTACACGGGAAGACACCCGAGGACACCAAAACCTGCATATATATATATATATATATATATAAAACACAGTCTGAACCAGAATTGTAACTCCATTTTTAAAAAAGGAACTCTTCATTGGTTTTTCCTATATTAATAAAAGAGGCAAGGGAAGGGTGGCTGTTAAGGCATTAAGGCCAGATCCTAAGTTTTGCTATGCTGGTGAATAAGTGTGTAAGATGGAACGTACTGACTGCTGTATCCAAACGCCACTAACAATGTTTATTTTGGCATAAGGTTTTGTGGACTAGAGTCCACTTCAACCTAATAGTATTGCCTTAATGAAGGACAAGTAATTTCATGGAAAATGGAGCCCTGATCTCCCTGTGCTCACACTGTGATCAGTGGCATTTTGTGTATGGGGGGAGGGTATTGTTGGTCTGGAGACACTCTAAATGGAACAAATAATATCTTACCTGATCAATGTGCAAAGTATGAAGGAGAGTTAATGCAATGCAACTTCAAGTCTGTGAAAAGCAAGGTGTATTTTCAAGTTTGCTCATTCCTGGAAGTTGCTGTCAAAAGAGAGCTCATGCTGCCTCAGGAGTTCCCATCTCAGCTGCTACACTTTTCCAGCAAATTGATCGCCTGCAGAAGCAGCTGATGATAGGGTTACCTCCAGCTCAGTCCTACTCAGAGTAGACCAATTGAAATTAATTGACCTAAATTAATCACGCCCATTAATTTCAATGGGTTTGATTCAGTTGGGTTACAATCCAAGGAATGCATCAAGGTTTAACTGGGGTTAAGCATCTAAAAAGAGGAAATG